TAGACGGTGTAGGAAATGCTGTGACTGACAGAAGCCCTGACTCAGTCTGAATCACAATGTGGGCACCCACTGCTTTGCTGTGTCCTCACGTGTTCAAGCATTTGAACAATGTCAAACAAAGAGGACTGCGGTGGAACCGTGATAGAGCACGATTCCAACACCAATGGTCCAGGGGCCAGGGGCAAGCACTTGAATGGAGAGGCGCCAGTTGTCGGAACCCTCCATTGCCTCCCGGAGACCAGCGGTGAAAGATGGGCCATCGTGATCGAACGCCACGGGTTTGAAAACAGCAAACCTGGACCCAAATACAGTAGTTGCAGTTGCCGTACGCTGATGCTGTGCACCACAATGCTAAAAAGCTTTCCCAGACCTAGTTTTTTAGATTGCACCAGGGCAGCGTAAAGCCGTTAAATCGTAAAGCTCAATTTTCTTCAAAAAAGCTCTTTGATGTTTTAAAAAAATCCCAACTTTACCACTTTATGATTTTATGATTTAATGATGCGATTTTCAATCTAAAATGTAAAACCAAAGGTAATTGAGAGAGGGCGGAATTTAAAAATAGCCACGAACTTTTTCGCAAGACTAGGAAGGGTGTTTTGGGCTTGTTCCCATTTCATCCTTTTCCAATGGATGCATATTTCAATCAGCAACATGACAAGAAGAATGTCAAGACTGTCTATATCCGTGTCAGGTCTAAAAAACATGAAATCAAGCCCCCTCTTTAAAGTCATTTTCACCTTGGTTCGCGGCAATGCTTGGAAAGCAGGCACGTATGGAAACATGGATGTTGATAAACAGGACAAGATGGACGACAGGCAGCATCCATCAATCGATTTGCATGTGCTATCACCTTGGGACATGTCAAGAACCACCACTGGTTGCTTCTTGCGCTGGAAACCTTCATGACAGACATGCTCCCAAACTGCGGAATTTTGTTCATAGTCAATGACATGTTTGAAGCCAAGCGGTGGTGTTGAAAATGAAGCAAAATGTGGCTTCATCTATTGAAAATTCGACAGAAGCGCAACCAAAAATGGAAGCAGAAAATGGCATCAGGCATTCACCGGCAAGCAGCGCAAAGTCTACTCAATAGCCTTTGTTTTCTCATTGCTACGCTGCAGTCGCATACGCGCGGAGTTTAAGAAAACGTTGTCGTCGTCACTGCTGGCAGGCAATCGTGCCTTCAGATAAAGCAGCTTCCCTGAAATACTTTGAACAGAAAAACCGTAACCAGGAAAAACCTTGAAAGCACACTTCAATAAATGTTCTTTTTGATGGTGGGCGCCGTCACTTTTGTTCTTCAGCACTGATGAACCAGTTCAAATCGGCGTTCCTCAAGACCCCAAGATCAAAACCAGCGAAATACTTAGATAAAATTTTCATCCATTGGAAAAGGATGAAATGGGAACAAGCCCAAAACACCCTTCCTAGTCTTGCGAAAAAGTTCGTGGCTATTTTTAAATTCCGCCCTCTCTCAATTACCTTTGGTTTTACATTTTAGATTGAAAATCGCATCATTAAATCATAAAATCATAAAGTGGTAAAGTTGGGATTTTTTTAAACATCAAAGAGCTTTTTTGAAGAAAATTGAACTTTACGATTTAACGGCTTTACGCTGCCCTGGTGCAATCTAAAAAACTAGGTCTGGGAAAGCTTTTTAGCATTGTGGTGCACAGCACCAGCGTACGGCAACTGCAACTACTATCGGGTGACACGTTTTCATTGGTAAGAATCCGGGTGAAATTTGAAGCCGTTACCAGCTTCACGATATGTCCATGCAATGTAAATAAAAAAAACATGGGCTACGGACTTCTTTGCAACACGAAGCAGACGAACAGTAAGTAATTAAGTGACACCGCCGCCTTCAATGATGGCTAACAACCAAAGAAGCAACAAGTGAACGAACGAAAATGCTGCTCTCAATGATGGCAAGTAAGTAATGTATATGTTTCAAAGCTTCTCTCCAATTTACATATCCAACAAACGCATTTTGTCATCATTGAGGGCGGCGCTTCAACTTAAACTACTTGATGTGTCTTTGCTAGGGAAGAAAATACAAGGGGCTCAGACTCAGAGAAACAAATCAAAATTCACAGAAACAAACAAATAAAAACGAACCTATCGAAATAAACAAGGAAATAAAGGAGCCGACGAAATTCAGGGAAATATGCAGAGAAATTCAGAACCTTGAAAGAAGCCCGGGGATATGGGAAAGAAAAGAATTCGGGAAAATCAATATGGAAAACACTGACAATAAAGTAGCGGTTCGGGGAAATAAATCATGAATTTCCGGATATAAATGAACGATGCAAGAAACAAATAAGGAGCACAGGAAACAACAAGAACGCAAGGAAATAAACAGCGAAGTGAGCGCAATAGTCCAAATAGAGCATGCATGGAAATACATCATGAATTCAGGGCAGCGAGCAAGGAACTCGAAGCGCTCCAGCAGCTCAATAAGGAGCTCTGGGAAATGAATATGGGACTCAAGGAAATAAACAAGGCACCTGGGGACATAAATACGCGATTGAGGGACATAAATCAGAAAACCCGGAAACAAAAAGACGTTCAGGGTCAAGAACTCTGGGAAACAAAAAGAGGTTCAGGGAAATAACAAAGCGATGAAAATAGCTTCAAATTTCACCCGGATTCTTACCAATGAAAACGTGTCACCCGATAGTAAAGCAAGTAAAAGACAACAGATTGGTGACCATTCAGTGGCACATCGGTGCAGTGAATGAACGTCCCAAGAAAATGAAAACATTGAACATGTGAACAAACCACGGCAAGCATGGCACCTTTTTTAAGCTGACAGCATATGCGATGATGCGAGTCAGTGCTCGGGTGGAATGATGAAATCTCAGCGGAGAAATGAAGACATCAATCATCCTGCAACGCACTGACACATCCACGCGGGGACATTGTCAGATGCCAAGATGATTTCTCAAAAGCTGGACCGTAGCCTCAAGGTCCCCCACACGGCGATCAAGATCTCGAGCTTGCTGTGACATCTGTCCAAGGAGTTCCATCATGAAGATGAGAGGGACCTGGCGCACTACAAGCAATGTGTCGCTTCGATTTGCTCGAGGAACTGATGTGACACCATACCAATCTGTCCCTGCAAATGATGCACGAGTGTGGCCAGCTCGTTGTACAATGCAGTGTTGGCCACATAGAAATGGACCACCATATCCGATGCCAATGGCTCATCCCACGAGACCCAATGAAGGAAAAGGTCAGTGGTGGGAGGGTCATGTGCACGAGCTGCTGACCACATCACAGGATAGATGAAGGTATTGAGGTCACACTCAACCTGTCCAAGCTCGAGGTGAGTATGAAGTCGATTGAGATCGTGAGGGTGGTCACCGGTTCGAAAATCAACCTGAAAACGAATTTCCGTGGGTGGTAGATTGGCACGTACAAAACACAGCCCAAGTAGGAGATCATCCTAAATTGCGCAGCAACTCAATGTGCCATCTTTGTCGATGCATAGGTTTTGCATCTTGGAGAGTTTTACGTGTCGTTTGTCCAAATCAAATTCATGGTTCAACATCGTTCGGAGACTCCAAATATCTCCAAATCAAAGGTGCAAAACTTACACCACAACCTCATGCCATGTCAGAATGTCTTGCAGAATTGACCAATAACCGTTAAGAATAGCAAAGGAAATTGTGTCTGGAATGAAACAAATGTCAATGTCAATTCGTATTCAACTTTAGTTTATCTGCGCTCGCTCAGGGTCTCACGAACCGACCATCCATGGCTCACAATGTTTGCTTTGATTGGAATGGTTCGTTCGATGCACACTTCACTTATGTTATGACAATGATGGCATGTTGGAGTCCTGTTGGAGTCCACAAACCAGGAACACGTCCTTTTGCCGGTCCCAACTGAGTCAAATGGCAATGATCTTTTTGAAGAAGCCTTGCTACACAGTCAAGCTCTAATGTCATACCTGTGTTTCATGCCGCAATGCTTTGTTTCAAGTCATCGAACCTGAAAAGGCCGTTCATTCAGTAAAGTTTGGTGTGGAATTTTGGGTTGCGCTCATTAATTCAGCATTCTGGAGACCCTTGCGACAAACAATTCAGCCACATGACAGCTGCGCGCAAGCTGACACATATGTCTGATTACATGTAGGGGGTAAACGGTGGATTCCCAAAACCATAGGGTTCAATACTAAAATATTCTAACGTGGTCTTATTTGGATGACCTCCATTTGGTCCTGGGGCGCCACGCGGGATCCACAGGGATACATGCCCTGTACAAACAGCGCAGCGACTTGTTCTCCTGCATCGATAGGCTCTGGAATCCAAAAGGAAAGAACAAGATGTTCCAACCAAAATTCCAATGGGGACCCGGTTTATTAAGCCAGGGTTGACATTATCTAACAACTGATTGGAGTAGCACAAGAAAAACAGCAGGTGAACTGAACGAAGAGAGCACATTCACCACAAACAAGGGGGCAGCGACAAGTAAATCGTGCATAGATGACTGAATGTGGTAACAGATGCTTTTTCTTTTGAGATTTGCAATCGCGCCGGGGGGTTTGTGCCATGGATGATGTCAACGATGACTCAGCGTTGCGTGGCCTCAGACGTAAGTGGCGTAGAACAGCTGACATGTCTTCAATTGACACTGCAGTCTTTCCATTGGTTGCTGATGCAGATGTGCGTGTAACTTTGGATGAGCCACCAGATCACCCGTCACCTGACAGAGTTGTTATTGCTGGCCCACAGTGTGACGCTGTGATTGGTACTGACCTTGGTTTCATATAGTGGTCAAGCTTGATAACGAATTATCACCCGTGACAAATATGGATGCATATCAGCTGTGTGGATCAAGTATTGCTTCTGGTCACTTGCTTTCGTACATGTCAGGTTTTACAGTCAATTTCATGCAGTTCAACTTCACTTCAATTTCTTGCAACTCAGATGACTGAATGTGGTAACAGATGCTTTTTCTTTTGAGATTTGCAATCGCGCCGGGGGGTTTGTGCCATGGATGATGTCAACGATGACTCAGCGTTGCGTGGCCTCAGACGTAAGTGGCGTAGAACAGCTGACATGTCTTCAATTGACACTGCAGTCTTTCCATTGGTTGCTGATGCAGATGTGCGTGTAACTTTGGATGAGCCACCAGATCACCCGTCACCTGACAGAGTTGTTATTGCTGGCCCACAGTGTGACGCTGTGATTGGTACTGACCTTGGTTTCAATCTCAGTCCTTTGCAGAGTGCAGCTTCTTCATTGTACGAACCTTCAATCGCATCAGTAGTTCATGAAACCGACAACGTTGTGGATGTTGGTGGCAAAAGTTCGTTCATGGATGATTGCACAGCAGTGTCAGACCAGTTCATTAGAGGTGCACGTTTTACAGCTGTCACGATGCCCTGGGAGACTCCGTTGATGCGACAGATCTTCGGTGAAGAACACCCCGGTGCTAAACTCAGTATGCCACTGGATTGGGGACACGCTGAACTGCCACTGGTTGACAGTGCAGAATCTGGCATAACTCAGCCTGTCATCCCTTCTGATGGTCATTGGAAGTGCTTTCAGTATGTGCGTCACAAGACAGATGATACTTTTTTGCAACAGCGTGAGAAGACCCTGACAAGTGCCATTGCCAAGTGGCGCTTCCTGGTGATGTTGGATCTTAGTAGATCAGAAGTCGGAAGACAGCTTGGTGACGCTGATGACTGCTCACGACATGCAATTTATCTCAGCTGAGAGAGATCCACCTCATTCACCATGCAGATGACAGGCTCTGCGTATGGAACCCGTCAAACCATGACATCAAGCTACTTAAGCAACGGGGCTTTAAAATTACGCATATCACAGGATGGAGAGCGTACCTCGGCACTGCACAACATAACTACTCGCATTGGACAAGAGTTGCCCTCCCAGAAGGACGACCAGATATGGAGCAGTTAGAAGGTATCCCGGGAGTACTCCCCTTCGAAGTGTACTCACAGGCCCCACTCCGACTGATCTCATGGTGCAGCTTTGAGCTATCAAGAATTGCCAGAAAACTCCTGCGTGAATTAGCGGAAATGTGTGAGCTACCTGAAACCACTACACAGGCACTTGTTACACACTTTGCTGCCCACAATTCAGAGGTCAAAACTGAGCAAGAGGCAACCCAATACTTAGCCACATTGGCAACAGTCACCATTTCCTCAAGGTCCAAGTTGCTCAACTATACCACTATGGTACAACATTTCCTCGGCACCTTGCAATTGCCCCTGGCTATCTACATGCTAGACTACTACTTGCCCATGCTCAGTCCAAATGAAGGCTATAATGAAACAGGGTTAACAATGCAGAGTGCAGGCCCCATCCGCCAACCATCGCAACCCATCACCCTAGAATTCCTTTTCAAAGGCAGCGAGTTTGGACACTGGAAAGTTAAAGGCGGGCAGGATGCTTTCGCTTTCCGACACCCAAGCCTGGGTAAAACTGAAGTGTTCAGCCTGCTGGCCAGCGATGCGCACCATCACAAAGTCAGCCCCATTGGCACGGGTAGGCTCATTGCCATGGTGGGTACAGCTGACGCACTAGCTTATGATGGAGATGACCTTCAAATCCTTTTTGGCTTGGTCCTCGCCATCACGCCACGCGCAGCCAAAAAAAAGGATGAGCTGGCTGCCTCTCGCATATACAGACAGTGCAACCCTAAATTCATCGAAGTTGCTTTCCTCTCAGGACCGGCCATTGAGTTTTTTGCAAAGGAACAACTCGAAGCCCTCCAAGACTGGTATAGTGCCTCCGGCCAGCACCTGGACCCCGTCGACGCGACCGTCCAGGGGCAGAACAGCCCGGTCCCCCAGACCTTCTTTCTCGATACAATGTGGATGTTCGGATGTACTAAGCCTACCCGTGAGCTTACCGCGGTTGCGCAAACCCCCCCGTGCAGATACCACCTGGGATTAGGCATTTATAATGTCCAAATAGCTGTAGAAGGCATGGAGGGCAACATAAGATCACATTTCTTGCATTTGTGCGGCCAGTTGCTCCGCCTAGTGCTAATTCCATGTCACGTGGAGGGCGAGCTTCACCCTTGGACTCGCTCCACTGCACTTTCCTTTGCCGCTGAGATTGACGGAAATGTTTTAGGCACACTCTGCGCAGTGACAATGGCATTGCTCACCAACCGGCTAGATCTGTGCATCCAAGGGCTTTTCGGAGCAGGCAAGTCGAAATCGATGGCAATCCTCATCCTGGCGTTGATTGAAATCGACACTACCGACAGCCTCAAAATATTGTTCATTTGCAAAGAAAACTCCGGCACCCGATCCTTTGCTGACCTCCTCCTATGGCTCGACCCCCCGTCGGGGGTGTTTGGGCGCATAGGTAGGCTGGTAGGAGACCAAGAGCGCAACAAAAGCAGCTACTCGCACACGAAATTTGATATCCACCCGAGAGAGAGAAGGCAAATGCTGAACAAGTGTCAATTAATATTAGCCACCGGGGGAACAGTCGCCCAGGATCTTACCATGCAATGGTCCACAACGAGTGGATTCATGCAAGAGCTATCCCTCCTGGTCATTGATGAAGGCCAGCAGTACGGCACTGACCGCGAAATTGCAGTTATCAGCCTGCTGAAGCAGCAACCCCTGGTCCTGTGGACAGGAGACTCGGAGCAGACACCTGGCGGTATTGATCGGGCAGCTCGCAACGCCAAACGGGCACGACAACTACTGTTAGCCAAAAAGCATGGCCTGCGAAGCGACCGCAACTACTACATGCCCGCCAACCTTGCCGATGCAATGATCCGACTGCTAGATGCTTCGGCAAATGAAGGCTTAACGGCTCTTAGTCAGATCCTCAAACGAGGCCAGTCCACATTAGGTCAGCTATGGACAAGTCACCTCTCGCCACAGGATGAGGAAGACCTCAGGGCAGCCAGCACTGTACTCCCAGGCTTCAAAGCCGTATTTGAAGCAGCTCAACCAAATATGCAACGACACTCCCGATTCGTAGACTCGGAACTTCTGGCAGGTACCGCTCTAAATTTTCCACGGTCTCTAGTGCGCCTTGCCTGGATTTTGCAGCATGCCGCTACCCTCCTGCCCATGGCTGGTGACATACAAGCAGTATTAAACTCTCAGACCGCCGGCGTAAGTGACATCCATGCCTGGGGGTTAATGCTTCCGTCCAGTTCCAGGGTTAGTCCCGTGACATACCATGCAGTAGTTGCAGTTAGATATCCTAATCTTTGCAGGCAGATCAATGGCCTATGGGAACTAGGAAGTTTTGCTTCGGGAGGCCTTCCCGACAAGCCACCCGGGTTCCAACTAGTGCTCTGGGATACTAATGCCAGGATCAACGGTTTGGTAGCGACGGACTTAGAAACTCTAGTGTCAGAAGTACTCCGCCCCTTCCCTCACAATGCTGGATTTGCCGATGGGCTTTTCACAATGACCACAGCAACTGATCATAAGAACAATTTGAACCGCTCCGTGCTCAAAAGAGATTATGTTCGCACCCTGCGTGTAGAAACAATAGCCAATTCGGCAGGAGGCACAGCGCAGGTATCAATCGTACAGTTCAAGATTCCAGCCGCAGCTGCTGCTGATCAAATCAGCTTCAACTTGAAATAAACGCTTCAACAAATTTGCGACAATGAAGGTGCCAAAAAAGGGACCAAAACTGGACCCTCCAGGGGGGACCACTTTTGATTTCAAGGGGTCCACTTTTTGACCCCTTTTGGAAACACGTTTCCTTTGCAAGGGGGTCCAAAACTGGACCCTCAACAGGTTGAATCCGGTGCCTTCTTGGAGGTCCGGTTTTAAGCCCACACAAGCACCTTCTTCAGCTGAGCTGTTCCAATGTAGAAACGCATCAACGTCACACAAAATAACCAGCAAGTTGGCAATAAGGGCCTCGAACAGTTCAAGATTCCAGCCGCAGCTGCTGCTGATCAAATCAGCTTCAACTTGAAATAAACGCTTCAACAAATTTGCGACAATGAAGGTGCCAAAAAAGGGACCAAAACTGGACCCTCCAGGGGGGACCACTTTTGATTTCAAGGGGTCCACTTTTTGACCCCTTTTGGAAACACGTTTCCTTTGCAAGGGGGTCCAAAACTGGACCCTCAACAGGTTGAATCCGGTGCCTTCTTGGAGGTCCGGTTTTAAGCCCACACAAGCACCTTCTTCAGCTGAGCTGTTCCAATGTAGAAACGCATCAACGTCACACAAAATAACCAGCAAGTTGGCAATAAGGGCCTCGAACAGTTCAAGATTCCAGCCGCAGCTGCTGCTGATCAAATCAGCTTCAACTTGAAATAAACGCTTCAACAAATTTGCGACAATGAAGGTGCCAAAAAAGGGACCAAAACTGGACCCTCCAGGGGGACCACTTTTGATTTCAAGGGGTCCACTTTTTGACCCCTTTTGGAAACACGTTTCCTTTGCAAGGGGGTCCAAAACTGGACCCTCAACAGGTTGAATCCGGTGCCTTCTTGGAGGTCCGGTTTTAAGCCCACACAAGCACCTTCTTCAGCTGAGCTGTTCCAATGTAGAAACGCATCAACGTCACACAAAATAACCAGCAAGTTGGCAATAAGGGCCTCGAACAGGGGAGGCCCCAACTCCGTCTCCAAAAATCATATCAGTTTCAGGTGCTAAAAACGAACCCAAAAGAAGCCTCTTTTCCTTGCTTGTCTTCGTGATGACAACCTTTCCCTTTCTAATATGCTGATGAAAGAATCCAAAGCCTGCAAGCGAGGCGCTTCGAGGCTCGGCGAGGCCTGGCCGAGGCCACGCCTCGGACGCAAAACCTATTGGCACGAGGACAAAGCGAGGCTCACGGGGACTCGAAACTATATAATACTATTGTTGAAGTCCCAGCAAAGCTGAACTTGAAGCAGTTGGCAACTGTGCTGCCTCGCTAGAATTTTAGGCCGCAGCTGGCGCAAAGAGACGATTTTAGGCCGCAGCTGGCGCAAAGAGACGGCCTCAACGCAAGCCTCGAGGCCTCAAGGATATGGAAATTGCAGCCAAACAAAAAGTTTAGAAGATGAAGTATAGTTGGAGGCAGGCCTCAATGCAAGTCTCGAGCTCCAGCGTCGCGAGACCATGGGAATTAGAACAAAACACTTCGGGGCAAGCTTCGAGGCAGGCCTCGAGGCAGGCCTCGAGGGCCTCAAGGCTATGGAAATTGGAGAAAACAATGTGACAAAGAAGGTCCCTGTTTTGGTCCTCAAAACGTACGAAAAAGCGGGCGCGCAAAAATGGGCCTCCCCAGTTCAAGATTCCAGCCGCAGCTGCTGCTGATCAAATCAGCTTCAACTTGAAATAAACGCTTCAACAAATTTGCGACAATGAAGGTGCCAAAAAAGGGACCAAAACTGGACCCTCCAGGGGGGACCACTTTTGATTTCAAGGGGTCCACTTTTTGACCCCTTTTGGAAACACGTTTCCTTTGCAAGGGGGTCCAAAACTGGACCCTCAACAGGTTGAATCCGGTGCCTTCTTGGAGGTCCGGTTTTAAGCCCACACAAGCACCTTCTTCAGCTGAGCTGTTCCAATGTAGAAACGCATCAACGTCACACAAAATAACCAGCAAGTTGGCAATAAGGGCCTCGAACAGGGGAGGCCCCAACTCCGTCTCCAAAAATCATATCAGTTTCAGGTGCTAAAAACGAACCCAAAAGAAGCCTCTTTTCCTTGCTTGTCTTCGTGATGACAACCTTTCCCTTTCTAATATGCTGATGAAAGAATCCAAAGCCTGCAAGCGAGGCGCTTCGAGGCTCGGCGAGGCCTGGCCGAGGCCACGCCTCGGACGCAAAACCTATTGGCACGAGGACAAAGCGAGGCTCACGGGGACTCGAAACTATATAATACTATTGTTGAAGTCCCAGCAAAGCTGAACTTGAAGCAGTTGGCAACTGTGCTGCCTCGCTAGAATTTTAGGCCGCTGCTGGCGCAAAGAGACGGCCTCAACGCAAGCCTCAAGGCCTCGAGGATATGGAAATTGCAGCCAAACAAAAAGTTTAGAAGATGAAGTATAGTTGGAGGCAGGCCTCAATGCAAGTCTCGAGCTCCAGCGTCGCGAAACCATGGGAATTAGAACAAAACACTTCGGAGCAAGCTTCGAGGCAGGCCTCGAAGCAGGCCTCGAGGGCCTCAAGGCTTGGAAATTGGAGAAAACAATGTGACAAAGAAGGTCCCTCTGAAGTTGTTCTATACGCCTACGCTGCTGATCGCACACACTCTCCCACGTACGTGTGCCTACCCTCAGGACTGTACAAAGCACGCACCGGGCACATAGTACCACAGACGGGCCCAGAACAAGAGATCCTGTCCCTGCCTTGCATCTACTTTTTTGATGGATGGCGATTACACCCGAAGTTGCCCATCCCAGACCACTTGCCACGCGCAAAAGAGGCGTCAGTCCAAGGCACCGCTCCCGCGGCACCTGCACCTGATACGGAACCCAAACGGTCGCCAGAAGAAGAAGCACGAGACATCCTCGCAGTCGCTGCCAAGAACCAGCCCGAAGATGGGCCAAGCACAAGAAGAGCAGCGGTTCGCGCATGCAAGTACTTACGAGCAATGGTCAGCCAATATGAAACCACCATCCAAGCCGTGCACAGTGCCGCCCGCACCCACACGCAAAGAAGCAAAGGCACGGCGGGACCTGCAGCTGACTATCGCCCACAAGGAGAAGCCCTTCCCGTCATCTCGGCGGACCTAACCTCCGAATTGTTGCATTGTCTGTCCACGCTCCCAGACCCATGGCCTCTAGCTAAGATCACCATAGACATAGAGAAACCGAGCCAATGGATCTCAAAGCTGTGCAGACTTTATTTTGCTGACGAGTATGCCAAGCGAACAGTTGGGTTGCCCTCGCGTCGGCATGTTCCAGACATCGTGGGTGCACTACGAGCAGTTCAAGCCATCCTTCCTAAACTCGAAGTCAAAATGATTCAGTTCTTAGCTGAATGGGTGGTAACTCTACTAATGCCGGCCTCGCACGTATTGGAAGTGAGGGCACCTCACCTTTCCTTTATGATGCTTAAGAAACACTGGTTTAGAGAACTTTATCTTAGGCCTGAAAGTCACGGCGTCCTTTGATCGCTCTGAATCATACACTTGAGTGATCGATGGTCAAGCAAGATGTATCACGCCTGAAGTCAAGCCGCAGAACCCACAGGTTATTTGGAATGTGCAGTTCATCACAGTCTTTGTGCCGGCATAGATGATCCCGCCCGTCTATCATAGCCTGCGCAGAGAAAGCATTAAAACTACCAGTTCTGCAAGTCCCATAGGATTCCAGTCAGTCCGTCCCACCTGGTTTGAAGACACAACACCCAGGGACACCACATCCCAGCAACCTCAAGACCCTCAGAAAGAGCAACCCCAGCCACTGCATAGACTGAAGTTAGTCATCAAAGAAGAGGTGCTATGAGCGACTGACCAACCACAATTCCAGTCACTTGAGCTCCTGGCTGGCCGAGGCCTCTTACCACCTGACACATGGAAGTGCAAACGTGCACAGGTCAGCCTTAAAGCAACTATCGATGTCCCTGGGTACAATCATGGAGGAAAATGGTGACGGACTCCTGGAAGATTCCCATATGCCTGTGAGATGGCCACTCCACATTGATGGCGCTGTCAGACAATGCTGTATTCACAGAGCTGCGAGCTCACAAGAATTAGATGACATGCTCAAAGAATATGACATGAAAAGGGATTCAGTAGAAATCAACCGTGACGCGCCCCAATGGTCCCATCATGCAGTATGGAACCAAAAGTATATGGAACCGAACCCAGGATACACACTGGAGCAACTGTGGGCCGACTCCGAACCTGCCATAAGCAAAAAACAACCACGTCATATGATGTACAAACAAGTGACGTGCAACGTGCAGTAGCGGCCATTCAGCACTTCCCATCCCCCATTCCCCCTGATAGCCTCTTCATAAGAACACTAGGGACACCGGCGGCCCTAAAAGCCCACCGCAGACGGACACCCTAACGCAAAGAGCTCTAGAAGAATGGGAACGCACTGTGTGTGAGAATAAGGCAGTGGCAATCCTCGCCGAGATCCAAGCTGGCCGACTGACTATAATCCATAAAGATGGTGGCGAAATGCTCATTGCCATTGTCCTTGATCGGCCACTAGCGGAAGCGAAAGCACTAGTGGATGACCCTGCGGCATTCACTCGCGAAATGACGCGAATCCTGCGTGACAAACAACCCACCCGCTTATCGCTCAAATGATGAAACCAGCGGCAAGCAGTAATCCACTCTCTGCCGCTGCTGCAGCCAGTGGTGCTAGTAGCAGTAGAGAGCCTCGCGCTGCATCACACGAGCAGTTCCAGTGAGCCACATGACGTGACGCAGAGACCCTGAATTTATCCTCCGTGCATTTAGTGCGTAACTTGCTTTAGGTCGAGAGGGGTTGTCACCATGGGGTACTCATAGTTGATGGCCACCTGCTACAATTGCCTATGCTGTCAGCATCTCGGAGCCAATCGGGGAAGGGAGGCGGTAGGGGGCGGATATCTTAATCCTGTTCTGGGTTTTTAATTTGTTTGTGTTCATGTTGTGCTACCTTAATTGTTGCATGGGAGTTTAGTATGATGTCAAAGTACATCAAGCCATAGCGCCCGTTGCTGTCTTGCTCAGGCAATCCAGTACCTGCATTGCTTGAATGTCACCCGACCATATGAGCTCCGTGCAATCAAACGAAGTAGTATGCCTGCCTCAGGAACCCCAGGCTCACAATGAGGCACAGGATCTCCTCCTACTGCAGGACTATGTGCACAGACTGACGAATACTCTCAGAACTTTGGAAGATATCCACGCCGTATTGCAGCAAACAGAACTCCTTGCAGGTGTTATCAACGAGCAAGACTGCAGAGACATTCGCACAGCCTGCTGTTGCATAAGAAGTCTGCGCATTCGAGTAGAAGCCCGTGCCAATGTTACGGAAAGAGAAGTGATTAGTCGACAGCTACAGCTCATGCATGCGGGCGTACAACATTACCGGACTGAGGACCTTAACACAGCTGACACAAGTTGCCTGTCCAGAACCTCTTTTGAGCACTTTGAGGATAGACCTGGTCCCTGGGCAGAGAAAAACGCTCGTATTCCTGGGCAGAAAAAAACGCTTGTATTCCTACACCAATGTAACTGAGCCAGCTGCCATGATCATTGACCGCATCTAATGCAGTTGATGTCAACACCTGCTAAGTTGACCGCTCGAGCTGCGCAACGCTTGCAAGCCTGCATCCATGCTGTCGAGCTCGCCCTTCGCGAACTCGATCGCATTGGATTCAGTTTTGAAAGTGGTATACACCGCCAGAGTGCACTGCAGCTCCCATATATGGGTACTATCTCCCATATCACGAAGATGCATTGCAAGAGCACTAGCATGGTAGTGCCACTCACAATTTCGTTGCAATATGATGATTGGAAAAGCAGTACTGAGCGGACTCTGAGGGTACCTGAGTGCTGTTACCGCGCCGTCTTTTTCACCTTAGATCACGTTTCACTCTCCTGTTTCACTGCGGTAGTTTCTCACCACTTTGTTGTGACCCGGCGTTGTCGGTGTTTGCTTCAAAGTGTCTGGGTGTTGAATGTCATGCCGTAAGGCTGCTCGGTGTGATCTCGGGGATCCTGGCTGGGGGGATCCCTGGTTTCCGCATTGAGCCTTGTTGCTTCGCACACCCATCAAGTGGCCCATGGTGATTTCGTCTTTGGTCTTGTTGTTGTTTATTTTATGGGCCTGCCAACATGACACACAAGTTGTCATTGCATGCGCTGAGATGATAACAAGCTATCACCTCTGCCTCAACAGATCTGTTTCACCCATAAACTGGAATCTGTCACGTCACGGTTTTGTGGTCTTGTGGCTTTTTTTCTTTTGTGTGGTTTTTGTTTGTTGTTTGGGTTTGTTTTGGTGTTTTTGTTTTGCTGTGGTTCTTTGTTTTTCGGTTTTGGTTCTCCGTTTTTGAAACCTGGAACGTGACTAGCCTTTGGACTATGTATCGGTCCTCTTCCAGTTTACTTTTGCGGCCACTACAGCAACGGCCCCTGTGCGAATTAAATAATTTATCTCTTTTGCAACAGTCTTGGATAGCTGTTGAACGACCTGGCGGAAGCCACATGGCGTTGGACGGAAAAAAAAGCTTGGTGACGCTGATGACACAGAGGTTGAACTGGTGCTGACCTCAGTAATGGGAGTCAAAAGCCCGAACACCATCCTGAAACGTGCAAATGCATTGATGATGTACTACAGATGGGTCTCTGTCAATAGCTCAGTGCCAATGGTCCCGTTCAATGAGTCCGACGTGTGGCACTATGTGATGGAACAGAATGGGGTCAGCAGATCCGCCTCCAGGTCACAATCTTTGCTGCAGGCATTGAGGTTTGCACATTTTGTCATGGGCTTTGACCTTTGACAAGGCTTTGGAATGTGCCAACTCACGGCGCATAGCTGGACAGTCACACATTCAACTGTCGCTGAAGGCACCTGCAAGACAGGCGCGACCACTGACCGTGAATGAGGTCAGAGTGCTCCACAACATTGCTGATGGAGAGATGTACTCGAAGGTGGACAGGTGCATTGCTTCAAGCCTGTTGTTGTTGATGTATGGACGATGCAGAGTTTCTGATGTCAATTACATACATGAGATACTGCACGACCTCACTGGTGGCACAGGGTTTCTGGAAATTTCAACACGATACCACAAAGCTGCCCGGACAGCCCAGCAGAAGGCGATGCTCTTACCAATTGTGATTTCAAGTTGTGGTGTCGTTCAGCTGCCCTGGGTGCATGCATGGATCAACAACAGAAAGGCATGTGGATTACCAACTTCTGGCTTGGTTCAAGGCGCATTGCTTCCTGCACCAGCCCTTGGGGAACATGTTGCATGGCTCAAGAGGCCTCTGTCACCAGGTGAAGTTACGAACATCTTGAAAGGATTCTTGCAGTGCAGTGACCAGAACCTCAGTAGTCACAGCTTGAAAGCGACGACGCTCAGTTGGGCTGCAAAGTGTGAATTAACCCGCGAGCAACGTCGCATCCTTGGTCGCCATGCTGCAGCAGTGCAGGGGGCAGACACCTTTTACAGCAGAGACATGAGCATCGGGCCCGTGAACTCGCTGCAGAAAGTCATCACGCTGATCAGGGACAGGGTTTTTCACCCTGATGCCTCAAGGGCCAACTACTTTCCTGGACCCCGACCGTTAGCGTCGGGAACTCCTGCTCATGTTGTGATGCAGCCATTCACGCCTGCGTTTATCGAAAGAGCCCAGCCAACTACCCCTGGCTGTGACCCTATGGTGCCGGAGTGCAAGACGGTGCAATCAAATGTTGGTGACACAGTCGGTCGTCCTCAAGTCGACGAGGTGAAAAGTGAAACTGGGTGGAACCTCTTGGTGAATGAGGGCAACGTGCCTGTCATTGACATCAGCTCTGACTCTGACTCTGACTCTGACAGTTCGGAGAGCAACTCTTGTAGCTCGACTTCGAGTCAGGGAGATTCAATTGACCTTGATGCGGAGGACGCTGTGGATACCCAACGTGATGCAGTGGATACAGCTGTGAACCTAGATGTCTGGGCGAAGAACGTCAAGACCAAGATAGTTCACAAGTGTCGCAATGAAGTCTCCATTCATGTAGGAGATCAGCAGATGTTCGGCGAAGTGTTTGGTGGAAGCCTGACATGTTGCGGCCGTGACATCACGAAGAGTTATCACTTGGTTGTTGGACCTTGCGATTGGACCTCAAAGTGTCGCATATGTTTCAAGGGCAAACGTGCCCCATGATGTTTGCATGCATGTCGAAGCCATGCTATTTGCACTTTAGCTTGACGTTGCGATCAGCGAAAAAGGAGAAATGTTCTCCGCACGGCAGTCATGTTTCAACATTGTGCAATGTGCACTTCACATGTCATCTCTGATTTTTCTCGGCTTTCATGTATGTGCTTGTCATTTGTTTATTTTTGAACACTGCTGTGAATCTCATTTGACATGTCAATGTGACAGTCATGCCGTTGTGGCATCATGTTGAGAAAATGTTTTTATCCACAATGTGTGGAAGCCGCAGCAATGTGCTGGAAAGGTCAAACAATGTGTTTGAGATGGACCAAATGTGGTCATTTATGGCTGGGAAGTTCACACGAACTTTTATTCCTATTTATCTGTGGCCTGACTTTTTCCTTCCTCCACCATTAAGGAATTTCTTTTTGCAGCTGATGTGAACTCTGCAATGATAAGTTCGATAAGTGCGTATTGCCGTGATTTTGACACTTGCATGTGGATGATCTGCATAGTTACTTTGATCACAATCTAGTAGGACGACAGCGCAGCGCAGCCATGACATCCATCGTGGATTCCAAAGCTCATCTGCAAAAGAGATGTCAGGACATGGGAATGACAGACCGTGCATTCCAAAACTTGGTTCAGAACAACTTGGACGCCATGGGAAAGATTGCATTCTCAGTGGGTCAACCTGGCCACCCGTTTGACGCAGCCGAATTTACGGCGTTTGCTCAGAATACCTTGGGGGCCATGATCAACCAGGCTGATACAGCCGTTCTGAAAAGACTGGTGTTCGAAGGACACATTATGGTCCTTGGACAGCTCCGAGAATTGGTTACGGATCCAAACGCTGCAGCTAGCCGTAAGCTACTGTTGAACGCGAACATAGAATGACTGAACTGAAGCAGCGCCTACGAGGCATAGTTGTTGAGCGCTAGCTGGAGCCGTCCCATGAACTTCTTGAATGCATGATGCAACAGAAGGAGTCCAACCAACTTTGCTATGTTCAACTTGAGCGATTGACATCCAGAGAATGGGAGATCACGATGGGCGAAGCGAAGAAACAACCGACGTTGGATGCTGAGAAGTTGATTATCAAGGAGAAGGCCGACGTACCAGATCAATATCATTCCTCTGAACTACAGGCCTTTGAGGCCCTCAGGAGACGTGGAGTTGCGATGGCCTTCGCAGACATGTTGACGTGGGACTCCCATGAAAGGTACCTACAGCAGTTGACAGGTCATTTGCGTATGGACCCTCCTCAGAACTATATGAGGCCAACTTTGCAGCAGATTCTGAAGGCTGACCGTTCGAATCCCTGCTGGTCCACTCGGGAGTCTCAAGTGCGACCCGCCGAAAGGCAACGGGCGCCGATCTTTTTTCCGTCCGACACCTTCGTGGCTTCCGCCAGGTCGTTCAACATGTTTAAGAGCTTGTTGCAGTTGGGATTAATTGATTAATTGAGTCACACAAAGGCCGTTGCTGTAGTGGCCGCAAAAGTAAACTGGTGGAGGACCGATACATAGTCCTATGCACTGTCACGCTCATCCAGGAAACAAAGCAAGACACCACAAAAACAAAAGCAAACAAACCACACAAAAACAAACACAAAACACAAACACAACAAAAACAAACTAACACACAGAGCACGTGACAGTTCCAGTTTATGGGTGAAAGATCAATTGGAGCAAGAGGTGATAGCTTAGTATCATCTCGGTACATGCAAAATGACATCTTATGTGCTATGTTGACGCAGGTCCATATAAACACAAAACAAAACAAACCGGCCACAAAACACATTGGGCCTCTTCAGAGGGTGTGGGAAGCAACAAAGGCTCAATGCGGAAACCAGGGATTCCCCCAGCCAGGATCCTCGAGATCACAAAGAGCAGCCTTCACGGCATGACAATCACCCTGACACTTTGAAGCAAACACCGACAACGCCGGGTCGCAACGAAAGTGGTGAGAAAAACTAACGCAGTGAAACAGGAGAGTGAAACATGATCTAGAGTGAAAAGGATAGCAATGGCTACGGCACTCAGAGCACCCTCAGAGTCCGCTCAGTTGATCTTTTCCCAGCATCAGCATCAGCAGGATTGCGGTTTGCGGGGAGTGTCACTCCCTAGTGCTCCTGCAAGTAGTCTTCATGGGATGGGAGATTGTGCTAAAAGGTCTCTGGCAGCCAACAGTTCGAGCGATGGGAACTCTGGTTGGTCATTCGTCGGCAGCACCTCTTCTTTGATAACTAACTTGAGCCCGTGCAGTGGCTGGGGAGGATTGGCGGAACTTGCGGTTTTGATGCTTTCTCTGCGTAGGCTATGGTGTACGGGTGGGATCATCCATGCCGGCAAAAAAAAAGGCAACGGGCGCCGACCACAAAAAAAATTGATACGTGTTGGGGTACAGTTGAAGCGTTGCCAGATAATACATTGGATTTGGATGTCAAGTTACTTGAGGTCTTGCATTCCTACGAGGTTGGTTTCCATTTGCTGCGTCTACCAAACACCGGAAGCAGACCCGAGACTCCGCTTCCAAGCTCTGGCCATCAGCAGAGCGCCAGCTACCATGGTGGCAAAGGGCACTCATGGCAGAATCAGCGTTACCAGCCCTACAAGGGCAAAGGCAAACAAGGAGGTGGAAAAGGAAAGAACAAAGGAGGGAAAGGCATCCTTCCCAAATTCTTGCTTGGAAGGGACAACACCAACATGGACATGCATGGCCGTAGGTTGTGTTTCAACTATCAGGTTGGACGTTGTTCAGACGCAGCTGATGGAGCAGAATGTGAGCGTGGTTGGCACCTGTGTTGCAGAAAGGGATGTTTCGCTCCACATGCTGAAAAAGACCATGATCAGAGGAAAAAGTGACAGTTCAGCCGCATCGACGCCTTAGCTGACGCTGGTGCGGGACTTGCAGATTGCTTGATAATTAAAATTTTTGCTGGAACATCCAGGGTTACAGCCGAGTTGAAGAAGTTTGGAATGTTGAGTGCATTTGGCACTGATCATGTTCGACATAAACAAGCTGCCGCCCAGGTTGTGATAGCTGACCTTACAACAGACGCTGTCGTTGGTTTGCTGATGCAGTAGCTGTCAGACAAGAACGTTGTTGGTGCGTTTATTGCACCGTCGATACCGCTTAAAAGAAAAAGGCCTGGAGATCCACCTGCGGTCCGACAAGCATCCAAACGGATTGCCCAACCTCAGTTTTGTAGACCGCCTCAAGATCTCCAAGGCCAACAAGTTGTACTTTTTGACATCTAAGCTTGTCCAATGGGCAGTGGCAGAAGGATGTATCTTTTGCATTGAAAATCCACAATTCAATCTTTTTTGGCAAACTACTTTCATGCAATCTGTCATTCACTTGATGAACTTTACAACATTTCAGACCTGTATGTACGGAAGCAAAAGACCTAAGCGTACTATGTTAGGCTTCAACGCCGAGGAGTTTACAGTGTTGAACAAGATGTGCTCAGGCGTGACTTCAAATCATAGACATGACAGTTGGGGCGTTCATGCTGGCTCAAACAAATTTGCAACCTCTCTTGAAACAGCATACCCAACAATGCTGGCTAGAGCCATAGCTGCACAGTTTGTCCTTGCGTTGCAGAACAGGGGCATTCGGATGCCTCCTGAGACTCTTACTGCAATTGGGGCTTCGGATGACGCCACACTGGCTGCCATGCGAGCACAGACAGGATTACAACCAAAAGCTTCAAGGTTGCCTCTTTTAATCCCGTCCTTTGCTGCAAAAGTTTCTCTTTCTGGTTTTTGTGAAGACCTTCCTGTGGCCCACATACAATACAAACTGCCAGCCCAATTGCATGTGGCATCCAAACCAGCTCCAACAGTCTTGCCTAAAGGCCCAAAGCTGTTGCAATTACTACCATGCTTGCTGCCCTCCTCGTGCGTACAGGGGGGGTTGTTGTGTCGGAACAGCAGCCATCACAAGAGGCACTGAACAGGTTTGCACAACTTTATCAAGATAATGATATCAGCCGCTGTGGTGCCTGTGAATCGCAGGTGTGAGAATCCCTTGGAGTGAAGAGGCTTTCATTGAACAGATGGTGCATTTTGAGCCCCCCGCCACAGTCAAAGCTGGGTTTCCTGAAGAATTGCAGGATGCAGTGGATTTTTATCGATGCAAGGGTTTACATGAGCGTGTTGAATACAGAGCATCGCGTTTGGGTTTTTGGCTGCGGAGGTTGCATGCGTTGAAGGCTGATGAGGCCAAACTGAAGGCAAGTTTGGATAAGGATGTTGCAATTGTCATTAAGCAGAAAAACATCTTATTGTGGGAAGAAATGTTGAAGTCGATTGACTACCCTGACATGTCGAGTGATACTCCCCGCAAACCGCACTCCTGCTGATGCTGATGCTAGGAAAAGATCAACTGAGCGGACTCTGAGGGTGCCCTGAGTGCCGTAGCCATTGCTGTCCTTTTCACTCTAGATCATGTTTCACTCTCCTGTTTCACTGCGTTAGTTTTTCTCACCACTTTCGTTGCGACCCGGCGTTGTCGGTGTTTGCTTCAAAGTGTCAGGGTGATTGTCATGCCGTGAAGGCTGCTCTTTGTGATCTCGAGGATCCTGGCTGGGGGAATCCCTGGTTTCCGCATTGAGCCTTTGTTGCTTCCCACACCCTCTGATTGGCCCATTGTGTTTTTGTTGCGGGTCTTGTTGTTGTTTTATTTTCATGGGCCTGCGTCTACATGGCACACAAGTTGTCATATGCATGCACCGAGATGATACTAAGCTATCACCTCTTGCTTTGATCGATCTTTTTCACCCATAAACTGGAGCTTGTCATGTCACTGCTCTGTGGTGTGTGTTGTTTTTGTTTGTTTGCTTTTGTTTTTGTGGGTTTGTGTTTTGTTTGTGTTTGGTGCTGGTTTTGGTTTTTGTTTCTTGTTTCTTGGTGTTTTGCTTGGTTTTCTCGATGAACGTGACAGAGCATAGGACTATGTAGCGGTCCTCCACCAGTTTACTTTTGTGGCCACTACAGTATGGCTTGCGAACTTAATTAATCAATTAATCCCAATTGCAACATGCTCTGAAACATGTTGAACGACCTGGCGGAAGCCACGAAGGCGTCGGACGGAAAAAAAAGACTACCCTGACATGTCGGTGGTCAGTGAGCTGAGAGACGGTACAGACCTCGTTGGATGTACCCCAAAAACCGGACTGTGGCCCTCGAAGTTTCAACCGGCATCCATTACGCTGGATGAGTTACATGACATTGCACGCAAGGAAAGAAGCTGCCTGAGTCAGCAGTTTGCAGGCGTTTGTGAAGGTGCGTTGATCGAGCAGGTTTGGAACAAGACAATGGAAGAGGTGGATGCCGGTGCACTGGTGGGTCCTATACATCTGGAAGATATACCCACCAACTACCCTTTGAGCCGACGGTTCGGCATCCAACAAGGCATGAAACTGAGGTGCATTGATGATTTTTCCAGGTCTTCAGTCAATGCGAGCGTTCAGACGAGTGAGAGTCCAAAGCCCCATACAATAGATGCTTTCGCTGCAATGTGTGTTCATTTGATGAGCAACCTCTCTGAAACTGAGCAGTGGGTCGGACGGACCTTTGACCTTGTAGGCGCATACAGACAATGCGCCGTGAGACCTTCATCAGCAAAGTATTCACATATCTTGGTTCAAAAACCTGAGACGCAGGAGTTGTTTGCATTCCGGATGCGGGCGCTGCCGTTCGGATCCGTGCATGCTTTCTTGAGGATATCGCAGAGCATCTGGTACATTTTAGTGAAGGAGTTCCGGATATTGGTTAGCAATTATTTCGACGACTATATTTCCTTGTCACCTGGGTCTGAAGCTGGTGCCATAACATCTTGCATCCATTTGTGTTTCAGGATGTTGGGCTGGGCCTTTGCTGAGTCTGGAGATACGTTAGGGGTCTTCATTGATGTGACCTCCTTACATTCAGGCCGTGTACTTCTTGGAAACACTGAGAGCAGGCGACATGAACTTGTGGAGACATTGAAGGCCATCATGGAGTCCGGACGTATGACGAAACAAGAAGCGCTCAGGTTGAGGGGCAGGTTACAGTTCACTTCCGGATTTTTATTTGGCCGGATTGCAAAGAGCTGTTTGACAGCGGTATCAAATCATGCATATTCCTCCTCAACTTCAGCGGTATCTTGTGACTTGATGCTTTCCTTGAGTTTGCATAAGCGATTGTTGGAAGCAGGTAAACCGCGAGAACTGAGACAATCTTCTGCAGATACCTGGTTCATCCAAACGGATGCATGCTTTGACTTGGATGGCGAAAGCGTGGTAGCTGGAGTGGGCGCTGTGTTGTTCGCCCCTGACGGGCGTCCTGTGAAGTTCTTTTCGCACAAGTTGTCTGACGAGATGGTGAGAACACTGAGTCCGACCAACAAGAAGTCGGCGATTTTTGAATGTGAGTTCTTTGCATTGTTCTGTGCTTTCTGGCTTTGGGGTGATGTGATCATCGATGCTGTGGTGGTTTACACTGACAATAATGGCGTGCGTGACGCTTTGATTTCATGTGGAACAAGGAATGCAGTCGCAAAGCAGATTCTTACAGCAACTTTGGTTCTTGAAAGTACAAAACAAATCACTCCATGGTATGCCAGGGTACCTACTGACTCAAACTTATCAGATGGTCCATCACGTTTTTCTTGCAATAAAGTGATCTCAATGGGTGCATCCAGATGCGACGTCAGTGGTGAAGAATGTTGGGCCCAACTCAGAGCGTTGAACGAAAAGTGGGGAGAATAACAGGCTCTGAGCTTGCCCATTGGGTTCAAAAAGATTTCAACGACAGTTTTCAGAATGCATATCCTTGGATGTCAGTCGATGCACCTCGATCAGCTTCAGCAATCCATTCTTTACATGCATTGGCTCACCAGCGTTTGTGAGGGTGATAATATAGTGGTCAAGCTTGAAAACGAATTATCACCCGTGACAAGATATGGATGCATATCAGCTGTGTGGATCAAGTATTGCTTCTGGTCACTTGCTTTCGTACATGTCAGGTTTTACAGTCAATTTCATGCAGTTCAACTTCACTTCAGTTTCTTGCAACTCAGATGACTGAATGTGGTAACAGATGCTTTTTCTTTTGAGATTTGCAATCGCGCCCCACCCTCTGGCGACTCTTTTGGCCGATTGCAATCTCTGTTTGACACCTTCTTCGTCAAGCGTGGCAGTGCCAGTCTTTTCCTTCAAAGACTTCCTCGTGAACAAGCGTTGCAGTCTACTTGATACTTCAAACCGCGTGAATCAACGCATTTGTCCAGGGAACGTGGCCAAACCCTGGTGCCTGAATAACAGGCTCTGAGCTTGCCCATTGGGTTCAAAAAGATTTCAACGACAGTTTTCAGAATGCATATCCTTGGATGTCAGTCGATGCACCTCGATCAGCTTCAGCAATCCATTCTTTACATGCATTGGCTCACCAGCGTTTGTGAGGGTGATAAATCTCAGTCCTTTGCAGAGTGCAGCTTCTTCATTGTACGAACCTTCAATTGCATCAGTAGTTCATGAAACCTACAACGTTGTGGATGTTGGTGGCAAAAGTTCGTTCATGGATGATTGCACAGCAGTGTCAGACCAGTTCATTAGAGGTGCACGTTTTACAGCTGTCACGATGCCCTGGGAGACTCCGTTGGTGCGACAGATCTTCGGTGAAGAACACCCCGGTGCTAAACTCAGTATGCCACTGGATTGGGGACACGCTGAACTGCCACTGGTTGACAGTGCAGAATCTGGCATAACTCAGCCTGTCATCCCTTCTGATGGTCATTGGAAGTGCTTTCAGTATGTGCGTCACAAGACAGATGATACTTTTTTGCAACAGCGTGAGAAGACCCTGACAAGTGCCATTGCCAAGTGGCGCTTCCTGGTGATGTTGGATCTTAGTAGATCAGAAGTCGGAAGACAGCTTGGTGACGCTGATGACACAAAGGTTGAACTGGTGCTGACCTCAGTAATGGGAGTCAAAAGCCCGAACACCATCCTGAAACGTGCAAATGCATTGATGATGTACTACAGATGGGTCTCTGTCAATAGCTCAGTGCCAATGGTCCCCTTCAATGAGTCCGACGTGTGGCACTATGTGATGGAACAGAATGGGGTCAGCAGATCCGCCTCCAGGTCACAATCTTTGCTGCAGGCATTGAGGTTTGCACATTTTGTCATGGGCTTTGACAAGGCTTTGGAATGTGCCAACTCACGGCGCATAGCTGGACAGTCACACATTCAACTGTCGCTGAAGGCACCTGTAAGACAGGCGCGACCACTGACCGTGAATGAGGTCAGAGTGCTCCACAACATTGCTGATGGAGAGATGTACTCGAAGGTGGACAGGTGCATTGCTTCAAGCCTGTTGTTGTTGATGCATGGACGATGCAGAGTTTCTGATGTCAATTACATACATGAGATACTGCACGACCTCACTGGTGGCACAGGGTTTCTGGAAATTTCAACACGATACCACAAAGCTGCCCGGACAGCCCAGCAGAAGGCGATGCTCTTACCAATTGTGATTTCAAGTTGTGGTGTCGTTCAGCTGCCCTGGGTGCATGCATGGATCAACAACAGAAAGGCATGTGGATTACCAACTTCTGGCTTGGTTCAAGGCGCATTGCTTCCTGCACCAGCCCTTGGGGAACATGTTGCATGGCTCAAGAGGCCTCTGGTCACCAGGTGAAGTTACGAACATCCTGAAAGGATTCTTGCAGTGCAGTGACCAGAACCTCAGTAGTCACAGCTTGAAAGCGACGACGCTCAGTTGGGCTGCAAAGTGTGAATTACCCCCGCGAGCAACGTCGCATCCTTGGTCGCCATGCTGCAGCAGTGCAGGGGGCAGACACCTTTTACAGCAGAGACATGAGCATCGGGCCCGTGAACTCGCTGCAGAAAGTCATCACGCTGATCAGGGACGGGGTTTTTCACCCTGATGCCTCAAGGGCCAACTACTTTCCTGGACCCCGACCGTCAGCGTCGGGAACTCCTGCTGCTCATGTTGTGATGCAGCCATTCACGCCTGCGTTTATCGAAAGAGCCCAGCCAACTACCCCTGGCTGTGACCCTATGGTGCCGGAGTGCAAGACGGTGCAATCAAATGTTGGTGACACAGTCGGTCGTCCTCAAGTCGACGAGGTGAAAAGTGAAACTGGGTGGAACCTCTTGGTGAATGAGGGCAACGTGCCTGTCATTGACATCAGCTCTGACTCTGACTCTGACAGTTCGGAGAGCAACACTTGTAGCTCGACTTCGAGTCAGGGAGTTTCAAGTGACCTTGATGCGGAGGACGCTGTGGATACCCAACGTGATGCAGTGGATACAGCTGTGAACCTAGATGTCTGGGCGAAGAACGTCAAGACCAAGATAGTTCACAAGTGTCGCAATGAAGTCTCCTTTCATGTAGGAGATCAGCAGATGTTCGGCGAAGTGTTTGGTGGAAGCCTGACATGTTGCGGCCGTGACATCACGAAGAGTTATCACTCGGTTGTTGGACCTTGCGATTGGACCTCAAAGTGTCGCATATGTTTCAAGGGCAAACGTGCCCCATGATGTTTGCATGCATGTCGAAGCCATGCTATTTGCACTTTAGCTTGACGTTGCGATCAGCGAAAAAGGAGAAATGTTCTCCGCACGGCAGTCATGTTTCAACATTGTGCAATGTGCACTTCACATGTCATCTCTGATTTTTCTCGGCTTTCATGTATGTGCTTGTCATTTGTTTATTTTTGAACACTGCTGTGAATCTCATTTGACATGTCAATGTGACAGTCATGCCGTTGTGGCATCATGTTGAGAAAATGTTTTTATCCACAATGTGTGGAAGCCGCAGCAATGTGCTGGAAAGGTCAAACAATGTGTTTGAGATGGACCAAATGTGGTCATGTATGGCTGGGAAGTTCACACGAACTTTTACTCCTATTTATCTGTGGCCTGACTTTTTTCCTTCCTCCACCATTAGGAATTTCTTTTTGCAGCTGATGTGAACTCTGCAATGATAAGTTTGATAAGTGCGTATTGCCGTGATTTTGACACTTGCATGTGGATGATCTGCATAGTTACTTTGATCACAATCTAGTAGGACGACACCGCAGCGCAGCCATGACATCCATCGTGGATTCCAAAGCTCATCTGCAAAAGAGATGTCAGGACATGGGAATGACAGACCGTGCATTCCAAAACTTGGTTCAGAACAACTTGGACACCATGGGAAAGATTGCATTCTCAGTGGGTCAACCTGGCCACCCCCTTGACGCAGCCGAATTTACGGCGTTTGCTCAGAATACCTTGAGGGCCATGATCAACCAGGCTGATACAGCCGTTCTGAAAAGATTGGTGTTCGAAGGACACACTATGGTCCTTGGACAGCTCCGAGAATTGGTTACGGATCCAAACGCTGCAGCTAGCCGTAAACTACCTGCTGTTGAACGCGAACGTAGAATGACTGAACTGAAGCAGCGCCTACGAGGCGTAGTTGTTGAGCGCCAGCTGGAGCCGTCCCACGAACTTCTTGAATGCATGATGCAACAGAAGGAGTCCAACCAACTTTGCTATGTTCAACTTGAGCGATTGACATCCAGAGAATGGGAGATCACGATGGGCAAAGCGAAGAAACAACTGACGTTGGATGCTGAGAAGTTGATTGTCAAGGAGAAGGCCGACGTACCAGATCAATATCATTCCTCTGAACTACAGGCCTTTGAGGCCCTCAGGAGACGTGGAGTTGCGATGGCCTTCGCAGACATGTTGACGTGGGACTCCCACGAAAGGTACCTACAGCAGTTGACAGGTCATTTGCGTATGGACCCTCCTCAGAACTATATGAGGCCAACTTTGCAGCAGATTCTGAAGGCTGACCGTCAGGTGTTCATGTATTTGATACGTGTTGGGGTACAGTTGAAGCGCTTGCCAGATAATACACTGGATTTGGATGTCAAGTTACTTGAGGCCTTGCATTCCTACGATTGAGAGTTATCATTTGCCTAGAGAAATTATTTTATGAAATATTTTTTTGTTTGTGATTTTGATATGATTTTGTTATGGTTTCCTTATGGTTGATTTATGTTTTTTTGCCTGTCCTCAAAACAGTTATGATTTCGATATGGTTTTGTCATGGTCCTGGAGTGCTTAATTTTTTTCTTATGAAATTTGTTATGGCTGGTCGTATCTTTTTTGTAAAGAAAATCATTTGGTCATTTTTTGGACATTTCAGAATGGAAAAAACAATAAATTATTTGTATTTTAAAAATAAGAAAATTTGAATCAAAAGCAAAAAATGCTTTAGCTGCTAACACATTAGACTTTTAGATTTTAGACAACAAAATCTTTGCCTTATCCGTATCATAATTCAAAATCTATTAGTTTTTCTTTTAGTTTTGCTTGATGTTTCAATTTGTTTGATTTTTTGACGCTAAGCTAAATATAATTGTAAGAAGTAACTAGTAACTAGTAGAACGAAAGAAGCGAATGATATCGAAATTGATCTTCACTTTTGGTTGTTCCACAAAGCCACAGATTCATTAGATGTTTCAAAGTTTTCTATGAGATGTATTTTCTTCTTTCCTGTCCTTTCTGACTTTTTTACTTGACATATATTCTTGGGTTCTGGTGTGTAGCTTCTGTTGATCAAGCAGCTAGCAGCTAGCAGCTAGCAGCTTAGCAGCTAGCAACAGGCAGCTAGCTAGCTGCTAGCAGTCACTAGTAGCTAGCAGCTTGATCACACAACTCGATTTTTTTGTTGTCATGTATCCTTTTCTATACAGTTCTGATTTTGCCTGATGTCATATCTGGCATCTGGCATTGCTTTTTCATCATAAACAAACATTTTGATCTAAATCTATTATCATCTATTCTAGCCAAATCAATTATACTCATTCTACTCGATCATTCTGATTCTAATCTCTTTTCTGTCGTCAGCGTATCAGCCTATCCTTCCTGTTTATCAGCTCTGCGATATGTTCACAAAATCTCCAGAGAGTACCCTTGTCACACTTGCCATCTCGTGCTAGTCATGCTGGCAACCCAAGACATGTCAAATGTCACACTTTCCTTAGCCTTGCCTTACAGACATATCCTTTGGAAGATCACATGAAACTATTTTCCCAATAGCCCAATAAGCTCATAAGCAATATAAGGCTTTGTACACTGTGTATGGATCCATTCGCAAGGTCCAGTCGAATTGCCTCCATAGCCATCATCATAGTCATAGTCAAAGTCACATAGACATAGTCACCGTCAAAGTTCAAGTTCAGATAGTCAGTTATTCAAGGCAGTTAGTCTGTCATAGCTGTCATAGCTTCAGCGGTCCATGACATCATCAAGACAGTTCGGATAAAGTCAAGTCATCATCGGTAGTTGTAGTAGTTATAGTAGTGAGCGCATGGCACACAAACACCGGGACAGAAGTTTTGAAAAAGGGACGCGACGCTATAATATGAATAGGGAAAGGACTGCCTGTAGGTAGGAATGGCATAGTGATGAGATGAAGTCTGCAACAGTGCAAAGACACGACAGCTGGTCAGTGGAATGTGGAACGAGTGACTAAACCCTAAACTCAGTTTGCAGCAACATTGAAAACCTCTTCTTCTTGCCAGCCTCACCCACAAAATGGTAAAGCTTATATTCAAACTGAACTCTGTAGGTCTGTAGCATGCTGCAACGTGCCTGGAGATCCAAAAGAATCAGAAAGAAACCAAAGTTTGAAATCAGAGAGTTCCTCAGTGGTTCCACTGTCTGGCCAAGGGATGGGAGGTGGGTCCGGCGACGGGCGTGGGAGGTGTGGCCGGGGTCCGGCGACGGGGGTGGAAGGTGTGGCTGGAGTCCGGCGACAGGGGTGGGAGGTGTGGCTGGGGTCCGACGAGGGGGGGTGGGAGGTGTGGCCGGGGTCCGGCGACGGGGGTGGGAGATGTGGCCGGACGAAAACAATAACTGTGAATGCATGTGCTTGGCATGGATGATCATTGACTGAGGTGTAGATTCCGCGGTTACTTGGCTTCTGAGGCCTAAGCCACTTCGCTACGTGTGAAAAGGTGCCATGGCTTAAACTTCGTTTTGTCGTTGCAGCTGCCTGTCATCTGACAGTGGTACTCGGAGCTTTGGTGCGATCTTTTTGGGCCACTGCGCAACTTCGATCCCTAGCATTGCACGTCCCTTGTTGCTTGGTTGGTGTCGGCCGCATTGATTTGGCAGCTGGGCGTTTCACGAATCCCAGAATTCACTTTTTGTTTTTGATTTCACCCATACCTCAATCATCCACCAAATGGCTGAAGATGACAAAGGGTATGGACCTTGGAGCAGGGTTCCTGTATGGGACGGATCCCCATTGAGCTGGCGGCGATTCAAGCGGGATGTCACATGGTGGTTGAGCAGTTTGGATCTTTCGAAGACAACTGGCTACAACCTTGCCGCTCGTTTTCTCCTTAGACAACAGCGCGGCGAAGAATTTAGTCCTGATGAGCAGGCATTTGTTCCTCCCCCGAAGACAGTAGACCCCTTGACTGGTGAGCAATTGGATGATCCCGATGCCGTGCCCGACTATTTGGTTGGAGTGAACAAATTGTTGAAAGCTTGGGAAGAAATGACTGGCCGCACTGCCTTGGATAAACGAGGTGAACTTCGTCAGGCCTTCTACATGGACCTTAGCAGAAAAGCTGGCGAGCGAGTGAGTGAGTTTTGCACTCGCTATCGCTCATTGGTGGCTGATCTCCAAGGAGAAGGAGTCATTGTGGGCGATGCCGAGCTCGGTTGGTGGCTCAGACAGAAGATCGGCTTGGATCCTTTGTGAAAACAGCTGCTGGAAACTGCCTTGCAAGGCAGTGAGGACTACTCGGTAATTGAGGCCGAGATTTTGCGCCTTTTCAGAGATCTGCATGACAATGATCCATTGTATCGGCGACCTGAGAATCGACAGCCTTTGACGATTCGCAGGATGTTTGGTGGCAGATCTGCATCAGCTACATCGTCGGCTCCATCGACGCTTTCAAGAATGACTTCAGCGTCCTCTTGGCAGAGACCTTCTTCGATGAAATCTGGCACTTCAACGCGTCAGGTCAACATCACTGAGAATCCTGACGAAGAAGCAGCCGTGGAGGAGGAGTTGCATGATGAAGCTGAGGGGCAAGATGGTCCTTCCTCTTCACTGGAGGAAATACTGCAGACTGAGGCCGAGGTGCTTGCGGCTGAATTGCATGAAGCTGAACAAGAAGGTGTCGATCCCTCAGTGCTTGATTCCTTGGAGAGCGGCATCGAGCAAGCTGCTGAGACCCTGGTGACAATGAGGGAGGCTCGACATCAGCTGCAGTCGGTTCGCAAGGATCGTGGATATGGCAAGTCTGATGGACCGACTTTCAAGCATAGCGGCACCTCTCAAGTGGCCAATCGAAAAGCTTCTGGAAAATTCCCCTGCTACGACTGTGGCGAGAACGGCCACTGGGCCGGTGATGCTGCTTGTAAGAAACCTGGTCAAGGACTTGGAAAGAAGAAGAATGATGGTCGCAAGCCTTTGCGACAGGTTCGAGTTGCAGAACATGAAAGCTGTGCGTCTGCTCCTGCCTCGCCTGGAGGCCATGCAGCTGATGTGGTGGAGCATGCGCTGCCATCGCATGACGTTTTGGTTGCAGAGGTGCTGCTGAGTGAAAATCTGCGATGTCCGAGCCGGTTTGTGGTTCAGAAGCTCTCTTAGAGCAAGCCTTGACTCAGTCAGTTTCTCAGGATTTCCATGACCAAGACCCCCGATGGACTTTCACCTGACAAAGAATTGGTAGGTGCTTTGGACTCAGCATGCAATAGAACATGTGCTGGACCTGAATGGTTGCGTGGTTATCTACTTGCACTTCAACAAGCCCCCAACCATGTCAAAGACCTTGTGCAGATGCAGGTTGAGTCTGAGAATTTCAGGTTTGGTAACAACGGTGTGGTTCCCTCATTGCAAAGATGGCGACTTCCTGCACTCATTGGTGAAACCTTGGTTCTCATTTGGGTATCTATGGTTCCAGTCAGTACTTTAGGTTGTTTGATTGGTCGTGACCTTTTGGAATCTCTTGGTGCAGTTTTGGACTTTTGCAAGCGCACCATCCAGTGCTCCCACATTGCTTCTGGCATTCTGCAACTGCGTCAGATGGTGGCAGGTCACTTCAGACTGGAGCTGCTGCCGAAGCTGCCCGAGCAATGGGGTGCGCCAACTCAGTCATTGGGCCGTTGGCGGAAATGTGGTCAAGATGGTGTTGTTGAGTTGTGGATGACACGTCCTCAATGGGTCCAGTACAAGTTGCAACATGATCCCATGCAGTTTGTGAAGTGTCATGAGCATTTGTTGACAGAATCGAGTTTGCAAGCATGTTTGTTTGAACCTGAAGCGGCAAAGCTCTTGCGCACGGCGCACTACTTCCCGGAATTTGACTTCGGCTCGAGCGTCTTTGAAGCGTGTTCGCAAGCGAACACTCCATGGAGTTGCCAAGCGATCGAGACAGATGCGGAAGCCGATGGATTCGCTTCATCTCCACAGGCTCACTGTCCGAAGACAGTGGCACGATCATGGCATTCTCCTGGTCCTATGGGTCTTGCAAAAGCCGCACTTGCGCTTCTTGCCTTTGCCCTATCCCAATGTGGCCAATTGCCAAGCTTGGACTTTGCAGGCCGAATCCATGATGAAGTTGAAGGTCTGGCCTGCAGCCCATTTGAACAAAGGCATCAAGATGATGAACCCTTCCGTTCTTTCGGAGTGCCTTTGGCTGCGCGATCGTCTTGGATTCCACATGGCGTTCTTGGAGGACCCCATGGTTGGCAGCATGTTGATGATCAAAGGCCTTCCTTCGAGGGCAAAGAGCAGCAGTCCACAGAGAGGCAATGAAACATGCCCAAGAGATTGCTCAGAAGCAAGTGCAAGCTGGCCAACAGGAGCTGTACATCAAAGAGCTGATTGGGCCTCGCGGTGGATTGCCCACCTTGAAGAAGGACTTGGTGCGGCTGGCAACACTTTTGCATCAGCCGGTGGATCCAACAGACAAGATCAAAGTCTTGAAGGAGAAGATCCGTGGTCCCCTGGCGACGGTGGTCAGCACTATGAAAAATCGGGACTCTCGTTCCCGGGCAGCCAAGGATGCTGCCATGATGCCTTCGTCACCGACTCCGCCCAAAGTCTCCCCAGCTATACCAATGACAACAGCATCAGCGTCTTCCCACGGCGCAGACAGCGCCAAGCTGATGGAGTTGGAGGCAAAGTTGCAGCAGACCATCGAGAACCAGGACATCAAGTTCAAGGACATGTTGACACAGATGATGGTCTTCTTCCAAACAACCTCCCAATCCATACAAGGGCAACCGGAGGCTTGGACTTTGCCGAAGGAAGCCAATCATGGACCAATGCAGATGGACAGCGAGGATGTCTTCGATCAAGCAGCTCGACAGATGGGCATCACCAGAGATCAAGCCATCGAGCTGAATGCAATCCACCTGCGAGACCTGGCAGAAGCTCAGATGAGCAAAGCACCCAACGGGATGTGAGTCTTGAGCAGCACGTTGGAAAGTTGAAGGGCAACATCAAGACCGGCATCAAGCAGATGATCTCCCAGGCATGGGATCGTCACTGTCGTGACAGAGTTGCAGTGTCCAAAAGCAAGTTTGAAGTCTATGAGGTGATGGAGGCCATGTATGAGCAGGAGCTTCGAGACAACATGAATGAAACGTTTGTCTTGGAGGTGGATTTTCCTGATCCATTCATCACCGAGGTGTACACTGACACTGAGCCGGTTGCCCGCGAAGCCAGAAAACGAGGACTGAGAGCAGGTGAAAGCTTGACCTTGAAAACGGGCTGGAACTTTCTTTTGGAAGAACACCGCACTCAAGCGTTGAAACTGGTGCGACGACTTCGCCCTTATGCCTTGGTCATTGCATTCCCCTGTGGTCCTTGGAGCTCTATCATGAACCTCAACAGCAACGTCAACGTTGAGAAGATCCGAGAGGAAGCCAAAATCCTTGTGACCTTTGCGGTGGAGCTATGCCTTCTCCAGTTGACTTCAGGACGACATTTCCTGCTGGAGAATCCACTGACCTCAGCCGCTTGGACTTTGGCAGAGGTTTTGGACTTAGTGGATAGGCATGACGTTTTTACAGTGGTGATCGACCAGTGCACTTTTGGACTTTGCAGTGCGTCTGGCGAGCTTCATCGAAAGGCCACCAAGTTAGCCACTTCCTCTCAGGCCTTGGTGTCACTGATGCAAGGTCGGCGATGTGATGGCCAACACCAGCATGCTCCAGTGATTGGAGGCAGCAAGGTGACTCAACCAGCGGGCCACTATCCTCCTGCTTTTGCGGCTGCCATCGTGCGATCCTTCCAGAACCAGTTCGACTTTGAATCCAAGATGCAGCATCAGAACACCATCAACGAGGCCATGGCGACTGAGCAGAATGAACCCTTGGCTGATGACTCTTCAGCTGATGAGCTGGTAGCGGCAGTCTCTGAGGAGAAAGACTTCACCACCAGCCCTGCTGTCAAACAGGCAGTGTACAGGCTGCATGAGAACACAGGCCATCGAAGTGGGCGTCGACTTGCCCGTGCTCTTTTGATTTGTGGAGCCCCCAAAGAGGCCGTGCTAGCAGCCAAACGTTTGCAATGCTCAGTCTGTGCTGAACAACGTGCACCCTCGCCAAGAAGACCGGCTTCCCTGCCTCAGACCCGGCAGGTTGGTGCCAAAGTTCACATTGATTTGCTCATGTTGGAAGATGCCTTCCGCCAGAACTATGTGGTGGTACAGGTGACCGACAGCGTCTCACGGTTCCAGATGGCATCCATCATCAAGGACAAGTCCACCCACAGTGTGGTTCAGTTCTTAGCCACACATTGGATTCCCCTGATGGGCAATCCTGCGGTCATCGTTGCTGATCAAGGCCGTGAATCATTTCGGCCGAGTTCGATGAGTTTTGCTCCAGCAGGAGCATCTACCTCTACATCGGAGTCCAATGTCCCTGGCAGAATGGAATTGCTGAGCGCTCAGGCGCTACATTGAAAGCCTTAGCCAGCGCTGTCATCCGTGCCCAAACTTGCACTGGCTATGATGACATGGTGATGGCAGTAGCTGAGGCAACTGCAGCTTACAACGCTGACATCAATGAAGAAGGCGTTTCTCCTTTGCAAGCCGTGACTGGCAGACAGCAGCCTCCAGTTGGAGATGTGCTCAATGGAATTCATGGACATCTTGCTGAGCACGAGCTGCTGGATGAGTCGCAGTTTGCGGCAAGGCAGTTAGCTGCCAGAGAAGTTGCTCGCATAGCGATGGTGAGGATGCACTTCAGTCGTGGCCTTAGACGAGCCGAACTTGCTCGTGCCAGATCATCTACACAGGCTGATCCACCTCAACCTGGTGACCTTTGCTACTACTGGAGAGCTAGCAAGTACAACCCCAAGAAAGGCCGATCCAGCTCAGGATCAAAGCATCGTCTTCAACTTCGACGATGGCATGGCCCAGCACTACTTGTTGCAGTTGAGGGTGGTGCCAATGCCTTCCTCAGCCATCGTGGTCAACTCACGAAGTGTGGCTTGGAACATGTGCACAAGGCTTCACCTTTGGAGCAGATAGCTTCTCAGAGCTGGGAAGAAGCCATCAAGGATGTGATTGACTCCATCCCTGTCCCTGAGGACATTCCTGTGCCTGAGGATGCGGCGATCAATGAAGATGCAGAAGCTGATGATCTGTGTGCTGAGCCTGAAACTCCCGTGCCCAGCATCGCTCTTCCTCCAGTTCAACAACAAGCTCAGGTTTTGTCATCACCTTTGACCCCAGCAGAAGTTGTGGCAGCCTTGCAGCCATCTTCCAGAAGACCCTCTACAGCGAGTTCTATGCCACCGCCACCTGGATCTGTTGGACATGGACCATGTCAATCTCAGATGGGCACTGGCACAGCAACTCCGAGCATCCCAGCACCAAGCACTCCCAGCCGAAGAGCCGTCCTTGGATCTTCAATTCAGCGAGCCCAAGCTCTTGAACCTTTGATTTCTCCCCGAGGAGTTGGATCCAAACGATCTGCGTCCCAGCCACTTCCTGAGACAGGTCGAGATCGAGCTCTACGTTCTGAAGGAGAACTACCTGGTGCTGCAGCTGGATCTCCAGCATTTGAGGCTTTGACTTTGACCTGGGAGCAGCTTTGCACATTGTCCGAGACTTCGGAAAACATCCATCCTCTACTTCGAAGCCGAGATGGATCGTCGTGCTCCTTTTGATTGCTTGGAGCTTGATCACGGCACTTAGGATGGAAGATGGAGCTTCATGTGTGAGCGCGAATGGGAACTCCAGAAGTCGTTGGGGCAATCCCTTCCTTGTGGAGATGGCGCTCGTCAAGCAATGACTGTGCAAGCCAGTCGCAAGGAATACGACTGGGCCAAGATGTCTCCTGAGAGGCGAACCCTTTGGCAAGAAGCTGCTCAGAAAGGATGGCAAGTCTACCTCGACAATGAGGCTGTGGAAGTTCTTACACCACAGCAATCGGCTGATGTTCGCCGAGACCTTGCCCAACGTGGAGAACTTGGCAAGATCATGCGTCCTCGCTTTGTGCTGACAGACAAGGCAGATGGCCTGCGCACTGAGGAGAACAACTTGGAAGTGCGACCGTCAGCAAGGCTGGTGGTTCCTGGCTTCAAAGATGTATACAACCTTGAAGGCAAGCTGAGACGTGATGCGCCAACTGGAAGCAGACTTGCTCAGCACCTTCTTTTCATATTGGGTGCATGGCACACGTCCTGGCGATTGATCAGCGGCGACGTGCAGTCAGCCTTTTTGAAGGGCGACCCCTACATGGATCGCGTCTTGTACATCTGCGCCACCGATGCCCATACCAGTCCAGCAATTCCTCTTGGTCCAGGCCAGTTAGCGGTTGTCAGGAAGGGCATTTTTGGTTTGGCAGATGCGCCACGGCAATGGTGGCTCAGACTATGTCGTTCGGTTGGTGAGCATGGCTGGTCTCGCACTTTGATTGATGGTGCAACCTGGCTCTTCTGGAGCTCTCCATCCGGTGACAAGCAGATCACTCCAGACAGCACTCTCCATGGAATCTTGGTGGCTCATGTGGATGATTTGTTGTTTTGTGGTGATAGCATAGCTGAAGCTGCTTTTGAGAAGGTTGGCCAAGATTTGGGTTTTGGCACCAAAGAATACAACAATTTTGTTTGGTGCGGAAAGAGGATCCGCCGTGCTGCTGACAAGACCATCCAGCTGTCGATGGAAGAGTACCATCGAAACCTGAAGCCAATCTTTTTGCCGAAGAACCGCTTGAAGGAGCCTGAGGCAGCATTGATTCCCTCCGAGGCGAAGCAGTTGCGAGCTCTGTTGGGAAGCTTTCAGTGGTTGGTTGCTCAACTACGTTGGGATATGGGCTTTTGGGTTTCATCCTTGCAGGGTGAGAAACCATGCATAGCCCCCATCATCAAGGCCAACCAGGCGGTGAAGGAGTTCCAGCAAGACCCTGGCTTTGAGCTGGTGTTTCGCCCTGTGGATCCTAGCACTGCAGGAATCATGGTTGTGGCTGATGCAGCCCTTGGCAATGTGTCCCTCAGCGATGACACTGATGCCTCGCCCTTGGAGCGGGTCTACAGTCAAGCTTGCTATTTTGTCCTCCTTGCGGACAAGGACCTCATGTCCGGTGGCACCGGCAATTTCAACCTGATTGACTCGCGGAGCCACAGAATCCCTCGTGTCTGCAGGTCCAGCTATGCAGCAGAAACCTTGTCCACCGAGGAAGCGTTTGATAGTTTGATGTGGGCCGTTTGTGCAGAGGCCTGCTAGCAACTGCTCGCGGGATGGACATGTATGGCAAGAAGGCAGAGACTGCAATGGATGCAGTCAGCATGCAAGTGGTTGTGGACGCCAAAGATGTTCACGACAAGACCAACAGCGACACCACGTCATTTGGAGCACAGAAATCACTGGCTTTTGTGGTTGCCTGGTTGCGCTCCGAATTGCGCCGTCCAAACACTCAGCTGAAATGGACCAGTACAGAAAACATGTGGGCTGACGCAGGAACCAAGTTGATGAGCTTGGTGCATATGAGGAAGATCATTTCCACTGGCCAGTGGAGCGTCTCCTACAGCCCTGGCTTCGTGAAGCAGGTCTACAAGGCCTCGAAATCCAAGCCTGCAGCACGCGCTGTGGATGCCAAGAAGAATGCTCTTTTTGGTGAACCTTTGGAGAAAAACGATGCCATGCTAGGGCATTTGATGAAGCTGAGCGAGAAGCGTGGATGGCATGCGCGTGCTGGCGTCGGCATCAACGTTGCCTTCAATGCACGTTCTTTTCGAACCCCTGAGCCGCGATTTTCCATTAGCCAGTTTCCATTCCGCACCACATACGCAAGATTTGACCATCCGAGTGGTCAGTGCGAATGGCGTAGACTCGAGACCAGTGCCAAGTACAGTGATTTTTCCAATCAGCATGCGCTGTTTGATCATATGGTACCAATCTTGATCACGCTGTTTCATGATGGAGGCACTGTGAACCTCGAATATTTGCCACAAAAACTTTGAAGGCATGTGAATGCATGTGCTTGGCATGGATGATCATTGACTGAGGTGTAGATTCCGCGGTTACTTGGCTTCTGAGGCCTAAGCCACTTCGCTACGTGTGAAAAGGTGCCATGGCTTAAACTTCGTTTTGTCGTTGCAGCTGCCTGTCATCTGACAATAACAAAATCACATCAAAAAGACGGAGGCACCCCAAAACCATAAGAAAATCATATCAAGAAAACGGAGAGACTCCAAAACCATAAGAAAATCATATCAAGAAAACGGAGAGACTCCAAAACCATAAGAAAATCATATCAAAATCATATCAAAAAAACGGAGAGACTCCAAAACCATAAGAAAATCATATCAAAATCATATCAAAAAAACGGACAGACTCCAAAACCATAAGAAAATCATAAACTTTGGCAAATCAAAATCATATCAAAATCATATCGAAATCATATCGAAATCATAAAAAACACATGTTTTGATTTATTTTTATGATTTTGATATGATTTTGTTATGGTTGATTTTATGATTTTGATATGATTTTGATATGGTTGATTTTTCGTGCTCTGACTTTGTCACAGGAACCTTATGTTTTCAGTCACCCCCACCACAGCAATACCAAAGGCCCCATCTCCGATCCCGAGTTGCGCTATGGTTTTTTTCCTTGGCCCTTCGTTTCTGCGTGTGTGGGCCCCCCGCCCCCACGCGTGCTACGCAGCACCGCGAACAAACACGGAACCTCGCTCCCCCCGCAGCAGTCGCATTCTCAATCCTGGAATATGGACGGCAGTGATGTTAAGTCACAAGCACAGAAAAATCAAATCATATATCTCTGTATCTGTCATTCGCGTTTGACTCGCATCATCCCCGTTAGGCCATGTAGGCTCTTTCTGGGAAGTCTTGGCACATCGCTCTGAGAAGCCTGAGAAGGGGAAAAAGGTGCGGGGCAGTTGACTCGGATGTCTTTGATTTTAACATTGGGCCTAACTCCTAACTTGCCCTTTTTCAGAGCAGAACAGGGCAAAGTGGTATTGAAAACTGACTAGTGAGTGACTAACGGCTAGTGACTAATGTGAACAGTGACAGCGTGGGATGAAACAGGAAAAGTAGGGGCAACAATGCGCCAACAGCGAACTGATGAAGCAATCATTGATTGACACATGTTTGGCTCCCCTAAAATCTGCACTGGTATCGGTGACGCATCTGCGCTTTGTGTGAAAACTCGTAATGTATAATGACAAAGAGAGTTGCAGTTTTGAAAGTTCAATGTGAACTTTCCCAGGGTCTTAGAAGCCAAAAAACTTCAAACCTGTGTTTGTCTCAAAACCTTGCATGGCACATGTTTGGGGTTTATGCGTCGCGTAGGCGGGCGTAAATGCGAGCGACGTGCGTGTACTTGAAACAAGAAACATGTTTCCTGCTTTACAGTTTTCCTCTTGCGTATGTGACGTATGTCGTGTTTTATTTTATTTTTTTTTAAAGAACCAGACAAAGTTGTTGAGCTAAGCTAAACCATCTCAGCTAAACAAAGTTTTCGAGCTCCTATGCCTATGCCCATGGCCTAGGGCCTATGCCCATGGCCTAGGTCCTATGGCTTATGGCCTATGGCCTGGCATTAATCGTTAATGAATCATTAATCACGGGCACAGCCATTCAGAAACCCACGGCGTCCTTTGTGACGGCTGCTGTTCCGGGTGGTTACCATTACTATCTCAGAAGGAAGGAAGGCTGACTTAAAAAAACAGTTTAAGTGTAAACCTGGCTAAACCCATGTGCTGTGTGTGTAGCAGTGTCATCGTAGTCCGTGATTGAACCATGGTGTCCAATGTTAAGGATTCCGTATCTATTTGGCAGCTAACCGCCTTTAGTCCGTCACTTTGGTCAACAAAAGCATCATGGCTCTCTTGCCTTAGTGATCCAATCTGGAAGCTCTTTAAATTTTTAAATTAAACATATGAGTGTTTCGGTAGTTAGTTGGTTAATTATTTTTCCATTTGATTTCCACTTATCGTCTTTGAACTACAACTAAGAATTGTTGAGTTGAAAATTCAACTTTCTTATCCGATATCCTTGACTTTTTCCACCAGCCCTTGCAGATTTTCAATGTTAAATGATGTTTTGAAAAATATGTTATTTTTTAACTGGCATTCATTAGGCATTCTTTCAGTTATTCTGTTATTCTTATATTTCAATTTATAATTCTTTTCTCTTTAACTCATATAAATAGTAAGGTTATCTTTATATTTTTCTCATATTTCAATTTATATTTTTTCTTGACCCCAAAGATAAAGTAAGATTAGTAAAATTATTTTAATACCTTATCTTATATTTCAATTTATACTCAGTCTTTTTTTAATTGAAATATGCATTTTCCAATAATATACAAATATATATAGTAATTTTCTCTTTTCATTTTTCAATTTTTAAATTTGTATTTCTTTTTTCTTAAGTAAATATAGTAATAGTTTAAAGTTTAAATATATGTCAAAAATATAAATACATATCTTGAAAAGTTCTATCAAAATATGCAGGCTGGAGGCATGTCCACACCATAACAAAACCATATCGAAATTCATACCTTCTTCAGGAGATGGTTTCAGACCAAAAGAAAACCATATTTCCCACCATATCGAAACCATAACAAAATCATAACAAAATCATATCGAAATCGTAAAAAAAACCTTTAAATATTTTTTCTAAGCCAAAAGATAACTCTCAATCCTACGAGGTTGGTTTCCATTTGCTGCCTCTACCAAAGACCGGTGGCAGACCCGAGACTCCGCTTCCAAGCTCTGGCCATCAGCAGAGCGCCAGCTACCATGGTGGCAAAGGGCACTCATGGCAGAATCAGTGTTACCAGCCCTACAAGGGCAAAGGCAAACAAGGAGGTGGAAAAGGAAAGAACAAAGGAGGGAAAGGCATCCTTCCCAAATTCTTGCTGGGAAGGACCAACGCCAACATGGACATGCATGGCCGTAGGTTGTGCTTCAACTATCAGGTTGTACGTTGTTCAGACGCAGCTGATGGAGCAGAATGTGAGCGTGGTTGGCACCTGTGTTGCAGAAAGGGATGTTTCGCTCCACATGCTGAAAAAGACCATGATCAGAGGAAAAAGTGACAGTGCAGCCGCATCGACGCCTTAGCTGACGTTGGTGCGGGACTTGCAGATTGCTTGATAATTGAAATTTTTGTTGGAACATCCAGGGTTACAGCCGAGTTGAAGAAGTTTGGAATGTTGAGTGCATTTGGCACTGATCATGTTCGACATAAACAAGCTGCCGCCCAGGTTGTGATAGCTGACCTTACAACAGACGCTGGCGTTGGTTTGCTGATGCAGTGGCTGTCAGACAAGAACGTTGTTGGTGCGTTTATTGCACCGCCTTGTGGATCGGCTTCCAGAGCGAGGTCGATACCGCTTAAAAGAAAAAGGCCTGGAGATCCACCTGCGCCCAAGCCGTTGCCGTCCGACAAGCATCCAAACGGATTGCCCAACCTCAGTTTTGTGGACCGCCTCAAGATCTCCAAGGCCAACAAGTTGTACTTTTTGACATCTAAGCTTGTCCAATGGGCAGTGGCAGAAGGACTACTTTCATGCAATCTGTCATTCACTTGATGAACTTTACAACATTTCAGACCTGTATGTACGGAAGCAAAAGACCTAAGCGTACTATGTTAGGCTTCAACGCCGAGGAGTTTACAGTGTTGAACAAGATGTGCTCAGGCGTGACTTCAAATCATAGACATGACAGTTGGGGCGTTCATGCTGGCTCAAACAAATTTGCAACCTCTCTTGAAACAGCATACCCAACAATGCTGGCTAGAGCCATAGCTGCACAGTTTGTCCTTGAGTTGCAGAACAGGGGCATTCGGATGCCTCCTGAGACTCTTACTGCAATTGGGGCTTCGGATGACGCCACACTGGCTGCCATGCGAGCACAGACAGGATTACAACCAAAAGCTTCAAGGTTGCCTCCTTTAATCCCGTCCTTTGCTGCAAAAGTTTCTCTGTCTGGTTTTTGTGAAGACCTTCCTGTGGCCCACATACAATACAAACTGCCAGCGCAATTGCATGTGGCATCCAAACCAGCTCCAACAGTCTTGCCTAAAGGCTCAAAGCTGTTGCAATTACTACCATGCTTGCTGCCCTCCTCGTGCGTACAGGGGGGGGGTTGTTGTGTCGGAACAGCAGCCATCACAAGAGGCACTGAACAGGTTTGCACGACTTTATCAAGATAATGATATCAGCCGCTGTGGCGCCTGTGAATCGCAGGTGTGGGGAATCCCTTGGAGTGAAGAGGCTTTCATTGAACAGATGGTGCATTTTGGGGAACCCGTTACAGTCAAAGCTGGGTTTCCTGAAGAATTGCAGGATGCAGTGGATTTTTATCGATGCAAGGGTTTGTATACATGAGCGTGTTGAATACAGAGCATCGCGTTTGGGTTTTTGGCTGCGGAGGTTGCATGCGTTGAAGGCTGATGAGGCCAAACTGAAGGCAAGTTTGGATAAGGATGTTGCAATTGTCATTAAGCAGAAAAACATCTTATTGTGGGAAGAAATGTTGAAGTCGATTGACTACCCTGACATGTCGGTGGTCAGTGAGCTGAGAGACGGTACAGACCTCGTTGGATGTACCCCAAAAACCGGACTGTGGCCCTCGAAGTTTCAACCGGCATCCATTACGCTGGATGAGTTACATGACATTGCATGGAAGGAAAGAAGCTGCCTGAGTCAGCAGTTTGCAGGCGTTTGTGAAGGTGCGTTGATCGAGCAGGTTTGGAACAAGACAATGGAAGAGGTGGATGCCGGTGCACTGGTGGGTCCTATACATCTGGAAGATATACCCACCAACTACCCTTTGAGCCGACGGTTCGGCATCCAACAAGGCATGAAACTGAGGTGCATTGATGATTTTTCCGGGTCTTCAGTCAATGCGAGCGTTCAGACGAGTGAGAGTCCAAAACCCCATACAATAGATGCTTTCGCTGCAATGTGTGTTCATTTGATGAGCAGC